ATGATATACTGTAGGCATTCACTCTTGCGTGCTGTGCAGTAACTTGCCATGTAGACAAGCCCTGACTTAAGCTACTGAGCAGCCAACATATGGTAACTCCTTTTGCGCCACCAGAGATGCGCTAGGCAAGCTCTAGGATCAAGTCTCTGTCCAATTACCAGTACCCTGGCCAAGTTCCTATCCCAATGATTTGTTTAAGAAGTTCTATTTAACTTAATGATAATAAATATCTATCCTTTCTATATAACTGATCAAAGTTTGATGTATCCCTTTGTACTGTAGGTAGCTTTAGAAGAGTTACAAGACCTCAAAGGAGTTTGGACTGAGCTTTCCAAGGTCTGGGACCAGATTGATCAGATGAAGGAGCAGCCATGGGTTTCAGTACAGCCTCGCAAGGTACGTTTTTAATTCAGTATATAGAAATCATAAATACAACTATACTATTCGACTCTTCGCATTGGAGGTAAAAATACATTTTAAATGCTCTAACTTGAAAATGAGCCAGAATATATGGCATGATGCTTATGTACGTGGGTCTTTTTGACGTATGAAAAACAGAATTCATAACAGGGGAGGGATAGCTCAGTGGTTTGAGCATTGGCCTACTAAACCCAGGGTTGTGAGTTCAATCCTTGAGGGGGCCACTTAAGGATCTGGGGCAAAATCAGTACTTGGTCCTGCTAGGGAAGGAAGGGGGCTGGACTCCATGACCTTTCAGCATCCCTTCCAATTCTGTGAGATAGGTATATCTCCATATATTATATTAACTGAGAATGCAGCTTCTGTCTTCATCTAACTTGCAGCACTGAGCAGCAGAAATAACTTTTCCTCTTAACTGAAGCTTCAGCAGGGTAAGGCTTACAAAGCAAAACTTGAAAAATTATCAGGATTGCAGAAACTGCACAACCTTAAATATATTTAATTATAGGCTACATCTGCAGAGGACAAGAATTGATGCTATATCTGTTTCTTTAAATTAAGTTGATCTAAATTAGCACTTTTCTCAAACATTTGTTCAGCTTCACTGATGAAAAACTATTGTCCAAGCTGATGCTTCTTGAATACATAAACCTGAAACAAGGCTTCTACCTCTTATGTGTAAGGAAGAATGTCACAGTTTCATGACCACTGTGATCTAGTGTAAAATTACTTCATGTTGTGCTACTCCAATGATTAAGGGATAGAGAAAACTAGTATTGTACCAACAGTCATGAATTAAGTTTCAAGCAGTACTGTTGGCTCCATATAACCTGCGGAGGTGGAATATATCAACAAAAGCATGGAGAATCTGTTGGAATGATGAGGTTTTGGGGGGCAATTGAATGTTTTTATACATCTAGGATTTGGTTTGCCTGCCTTGTATACAGCTATATTTATTGTTAGCAAAATTAAATATATGCAGCATAGGAAATCATGATCAATATCATATTAATTATTATTATTATTAAGGGTGATTTTCCCATTTTTAAAGAACTGTTTAATAAAATGTTAAGATGACAAACTGTAAGTAGAACAGATAACTGTTGTAATATCCAGTTTACTAGAGTGATTGTGTTTATCATAATGTTGCTGGTAGATGAATTCTTTCATGGCTTCTGTGTTTTATTGACAGCTTTGACAAAATTTGGATGGTTTACTGAACCAGTTGTAAAACTTCCCTGCTTGTTTGCAGCAGAAGAATGAAGCAATTGTCAAAGATGTACTTCTTGTGGCTCAGGGAGAGATGGCTTTGGAAGAGTTTTTGAAACAGGCTAGTACCTATCATTACATATACTAGACCTTTCGTGCAGGAGAAGTTTTAGAGGTGTAAATTAATTTGCTGACAGCTATGTAACAAATTGGATTTTGGCTACCCAGGATGGTGAAAGTGAAATGCTTTAGATCTTCACCATACATTTTTAGTTCTAAATAACTGAGTAAATTTACCTCAAAAACTGACACAACATGAAACCCTATAGGTTTGGGGTTTTATTAAAAGCTTTGCAAGTTTACTGAAGGTACTGTAACTTAAAGATAAATCAAGTAAAATACATAGCTAGTACGTTACTATTATAAAACTTCTAAGTAGAATACTGGAAACTGCCTTCTGTAATTTCATTTTATGAGTTCCAATAACTTTAAGTCCGACCCACAAGACATAATTATGAAATCTTCCACAATATGATTGACAGCAATCCAAGGACTGCAGGTTTATGTGCTCTGTAAAAAGAAAAGAATCAAGCTCATGTAACTACATTTCTACACTATAGACTGAAATAAATGTAATAGAATTAAAATTACTATCAGGAATTCATAACCTGACTTTTTTTCTTAAAGATAAGAGAAGTGTGGAACACTTATGAACTGGATTTGGTTAACTATCAGAACAAATGTTGTTTGATTCGTGGTTGGGATGATGTCTTCAACAAGGTCAAGGAGCACATTAACAGTGTGTCTGCCATGAAGTTAGCAACAGAGAGTCCTGTGGCACCTTTAAGACTAACAGAAGTATTGGAGCATAAGCTTTCGTGGGTGAATGCCCACTTCGTCAGACACAAGGGTTATCAGACGCCATGAAGTTATCACCGTACTACAAGAGTGGTGTGAGTGGGTAGAGAAGACTGGAGTGGTGGGTAAAGAAGTAGTTGCTTCTGTTGAATGCATAAAGATTCTCAGCATAAAGATACACACACATTAAATCGGGGGTTAATATATGTAACCACAATCCTATCCAGTCTACACCAGTTTCACTATGTACAGGGAAGAATAACCAAGGTAACTTTTTTTCCCAGTGTGTGTGTAAATAAAGCTGATCTTCTCTTTTTCTCTGCCTACAGGCAATGGGATGCATCTTTGTGGGGCTTTGACAAATGGGCGCATGGGGATGCTTTGATGAGTTCAACAGACTTGAGGAGCGCATGCTTTCTGCTGTTTCTCAGCAGGTTCAGTGCATCCAGGAAGCCTTGCGAGAACATTGCAATCCAAACTATGACAAGAGTATGCAATTCTTTTCATTGCTAATGGTTTTGTATAGCTTTTCTGGCAAAAGAATGCCCTCACTTGCATGTCTGAAATAGGTCCTTTTGAGAAATTTCCTTGATCAGTTACTCCCACATTGGCCAGGGTTTGTTTTTTGTTTTTGTTTTTTGTTAAATTTGAAAATGTAACTTAAACACTAAAGAATTAAAGGAAGTTGCTTTCAACTGATATGCAGTCACTGTCAACATTGTTTAACTTTAGTGTTGTGGTAGAAAAAAATGTTTGACTAGTTGTACCATAAACAAAACTATACAGGATACTAAAAGTGAAGTTTCAACTACTGTAGTTGATAGCTGATTTGACTGAGACAAAATCAACTGTAACTAAAAAACGTTGTGTGTGAACTACTTTTAGCTTCTGCACCTATTACTTGTGAGCTGCTGAATAAACAAGTTAAAGTGAGCCCAGACATGGCTATCTTCATCACCATGAATCCTGGTTATGCGGGTAGATCAAATCTTCCAGACAACTTGAAGAAGCTGTTCTGGAGCTTGGCGATGACAAAGCCAGACCGCCAGCTGATTGCCCAGGTCATGTTGTACTCCCAGGGTTTCTGTACTGCTGAAGTGCTAGCCAATAAAATTGTTCCATTCTTCAAGTAAGTAATAGTCACTTAAACAAGTGTGGCCCAAACCATTAAAAGATCACTTGTGTACTTAAATCTGGAACTTAAAATGGCTCTGAAGCTAGCTTTGAAACTACCATAGCAAGAACATAGAACAGTAAGCATGCTTGACACTTCACTATTGAACATTAGTTTTGTGATCTTAGTATGTCTAAAACTGACTCTGGTATCTTTTATCCTTAGACTCTGTGATGAGCAGCTCTCCTCTCAAAGTCATTATGACGTTGGCTTAAGAGCTTTGAAGAGTGTACTGATTAGTGCAGGAAATGTGAAGAGGGAGAGGATTCAGAAGATAAAGCGGGAGAAGAGAGAGCATGGTGAAGTTGTTGATGAAGAGGAAATTGCTGAGAACCTACCTGAACAAGAGGTAAAACATATACAGATTTTTTTTATATTCATTCACAGCAAAGGGGTGATTACAGTACATATTCATGTATATGAGCATTTACAGTAAAGCACCTGCTGTATCTAGCATAAACAATCTATTTAAGTTCACAAGTGTCGTATTTACTTGAAGTCATGGTACTTTAGGCTACAGGAGTGGCAGTTTAAGCAGTGCTTGAGTTGTTGGAAGTGTCTTTCTTACAAGAAAACAGAGGCATCTGATGGTTTGTGGTCATTACAAACTTTCACCGCTCCTGTAAAACAAGTGGTATCCTGACTATATTCCAAGTGGAGTAGACATTCTGAATGAACTCCTGCAGTTCACATCACTTTCAAATAAATGTTATGTAGGCAAGTACAGTTGTCACTCCTCAACTAAGGCAATTGTATTAGGTGATAGCTTAAGTATTCCCTGTATAGGATCACTTTAAGTTCATAATGCACTGATCACCACAAAGCAGCCTCACAAGGAGCTGAAGGAGAGACCTGATGTCTTCAAAAGATAGGATCTAGTCTAGAATGAGTGGAATACCCATAGCTTCTGGTAGAATACCTCTTTGTTGTGTCCAGGACGAGAAGCATTTCCATTTAGCTAGGTAACGTTTCCTAGTCGAATCCTTTCTGCTATTGCAGAAGATGTCTCACATGGCTGAAGAGCATGCACATTCTAGGAATGATGCCCACCCAAATACCACGCCCTGAGGTGGAGTGGTTGTGGATTGGGGTGTTTGATGCTGCGATTGCATTGGGTCAGGAGCTCAGGGAACTAGAACTGACAGGGCAAGAAAGGGGTGATCAGGATGACATCACCCCTTTCTGCTGGAACTTGTGTAGCACTTGTGGCAGAAGCGGCAGCGGAGGGAAGGCACAGTTGAACTGGTCTGACCAGGAAAGGAGAGCATCACCCTGGAAGTGGCAGCCTACATCTGGAGCAACACGTGATGCACTTGTTGTTGGCCTGGGAAGCGAACAGATCTCTTGTTGGGGTTCTCCATCATGTGAAAATGTCAGGCAGAACCGTGTCGTTAAGTTTCCACTTGTGGTCAATCGTAAAATGTCTGGTGAGGGAATCTGAGAGTGCATTTTGTGTCCCTGGAAGGTAGGCTGCAGATAGAGTCATCTGATTGCTGATGCACCAGTTCCAGAGATTGACTGCTTCTGCACACAGGGAGGCAGATCTTGCTCCCTTGCTTGCTGGTGTAAAAGACCATCCTAGCGTTGTCTGACATTATCAGGATGTGGTGAAAGCGAGCGAATGGAAGAAAGGATTCGCACACCTTCCTTACTGCCCATAATTCCAGGACACTGATGTGCATTCTATACTCTCAAGATGTCCAGGCTCCTTGTGCTCTGTGGTTGCCCATACAGGCTCCCCAACCTTGCAGGGAAACATCCATAATGATTGTCTTGACCAGTGAAGAGGGGAGAAAGAGACCCCCCCACACATATGTGATGAGGATTTGTGCATCACAGAAGGGAGGACAGTATCTTGGCAGGAACTGTCAGTGTGAGATTCATGGAATGACAGCTTGGGGAGTGAACTGAATGTAGTCATACTCAAAGATGGAGTCTTGCAAATGGAGTGACATATGTGCACAAAGCCATGAGGCCAAGTAAGAACAGACATGTTTTGACTGTTACCAAAGTGTTGCTTGCAATGTGACCTATGATATTGTTCATGGTCTGAAAACTGTGAGCAAGTTCACCCCTGTGGTGATAGAGTTCAAGGTTGCCCCAAAGAAATCCAAAGATTTCATGGGAGTAAAACCAGATTTTTGTAACGTTTACACTGACTCCCCATTGAGGAAAAGAGGTGGAGCATCATAGATGTCAACGTATAGGTTTTTTGGCGAGATTTGGTGGTGAGGAGCCAGTCGTCTAAGTATGGGAAAGTGAGGAGGCCATGACATCTGATGTGAGCTTCTACCGCTGAAAATACCTTGGTGTAAATACTATGAGGGCGGTAGCTATTCTGAAGGATAGTACTGGAAATGGTCAGAGCCCACCATAAATCTGAGAAATTGTCTGTGGGCAGGAGCCATGACCACATGCCATTTTTTCTAAAAATGGAATTATTGCTGCCTACATGACTGTGAAATTTGAGTTTGTGAATGAAGTGGGGTTGAGGTGGTGGAGGTAAAGGATTGGTTTCCACCCAGCCTTTTTCTTGGATATGAGGAAGCAGGTCAAGTAAAAACCTGTAACCTGATACTGTGGAGGAACACACTATTGCTCTTTGCTGCAATAAGTTCACCTCCTGAGCGAGAATATTGTCATGAGACTGGTCCCCAAAAGGGGTTGGGGAGGGCAGTTTTGGATGAGGTAGCATTGCAAACTCAATCATATAGCCAGTGTGGATGATGATCAGGACCCATGTGTCCATCGTTATCACGCTCCAGATGTTGAAGAAGAGTGCTAGGCGATCCCTGTTCTACTGGAGTCAGGAGGTGCTGGGCTCAGTGAATCACGGCTCCCAAGCTCACATCAAAAATATTACTGGTTGGGGGCTGGGATTGGGATGTTGAGGCCAGTGTGGAAGGAACATGGAAGCAGGACTTTTCAATCTTCTGCCTTTTATGAGGTGGTTTGTAGGGTCTCTGATGGTAGAAGCATTGAGCTCTATACCTTGATGGGGTCAATTGGTGATGTAACTTCCTCTTAAGGGAAGGTGTGTATATACCCAGTGATCGAAGGGTAGTCCTAGAATCCTTCGGGATGTATAGGGACTCATCTGTGGAGCAATTCCTCTGATGATTCCGAATCTCCTGAGGTTCCAGCGGCGGTACTGCCGGTGCCATTGGAGAGGTGTAAGTTGTGTATGGAGAGGAGGGGATGGGATAATAGGCTCTGCCCTGAAGGCAGGTCTCTCAGTGGAGATATAAGCTTCCTGAAAACAGAGGTTCCCAATGAAGGAGAGGATTCTGGATCCAGGCAGGCAAAAATGTCCTGTGGTGTGGCCATGGATCCATATCTCCCAGGTGTAAGGAGGACCAGAGGCGGATTTACAATGAAACACACAGTACCCTGCCATGAGGCCCCCCCAACTACAGGGGGCCCCAGGGCCAGGCAGCCCAGCACCCTCTGTGGGGGGAACTGCTGCGGGGGCAGAAGTTGTGGTGGAGAGTAGGGAAGGAGCAGTTTAAGAGCCGTGCTGGAGGCGCAGCATGTGTTGCAATCTCCCACCTAGTGAGCCGGGCTCGTGCTGCCTCCTGGGGCTCCTGCTGCTGGCTGGCGCTGGCAGCCAGGTGAGGTAGGCAGGTGAGGGGCTGGCTGGGGGCGTGCTGTAGGGAGACAGGTGCGCTCCCCTGATGGGGCATTTGTCCATGCCTGTCCTGCTGCCCTGCTCCTCTGGACACTGGACAACGCAGGTGCAGTCCCTGGCATGCACTGCTGCAGGCGGACCCTGGAAAAAGGCCAGGGGGTCTCAGCTCTCACATGCTGCTGCCGCCACAGGTCCCTTTGGCAGCGAAGAGGAGCAGCGGTGGGGCAGAGAAGCGTACACCAGCCAGCCAGATAAGGTAACCCAGCACCCGCGAGGTCAAAGCTAAGGACACTAAAGCTTTCAACCTGGACCATGCAGCTGTGAGGAGACCTGAAGAGGTGGTTGGTTCACCCCACTCTTTATCACCGTGGTCGAAGGCACAAGGCAAGCGGGGACACATGGGCGGACCAACAGATACTACTTTCAAATTCTCTGACTCCGGGCGCATGGTGCACACGTGTAACCCACAGTGGAAAACAGGGACCATCACTCAAGGAAGAAGTGAACCACCAGCAGACCAGGTCAGCAGGACTAAAGAGAAAAAACCCTGCAACACCGCACCTAGCCACAAGGTGGCATAGCAGTTGGCGAGTCATTACAAAACTCCCATGAAAATGTATCAGGCAGGCTGCAAATTCTAGTCTCCCGCCCTTTATTATGGCCAGAATGACCACGATGGCATTTCACTTGCGTGTTTTTCAAAAACCTGCTACTTGCCTTAGGCAAACGTTCAGAAAAGGCCACCAAGCAGCAACTCCGCTCTCCCCGCCCCTCCCCCCGCTGCAGCGTCTGAGGAAACGCTTTGTGACGCAGTCGCTAGACAAACGGCTGGGCGAGGCAGCCCGGAGCTTCTAGTCATTTCTCTCGCCTGCCTGCCTGCCGCGGGACCGGCCTTGCCCCCAGTAAACTTCAGCTCCCAGGATGCACTTGTGAAGGCCGGTTCTGTCCCGGTGCATTGTGGAACTTATAGTTTTCCCTTTTGACGTTGCGATGCGCGAGCTAGGTGGTAGGAACTACATTCCCCAGCCGGCATGTGGTCCGCGCCGTCGCGGATCTGCCTGCCCAAGGCAAAGCGGGATTTGTGGCCTTGTTGGTCGCCTTTCTCGTCAGGTTTGTGACTTCAGTGAATGACAGCTCCCAGGATGCTCTAGGTCGCAGAGTCGCCCCCCTCACCCCGTTCAAATGTGCATGCTGGGATTTGTAGTCATTCTCTTCGGCTCTGTCGTGCGCATCCGGGCTGTGGGGACTACACTTCCCAGGCCGCCCCGCGGCGGGGGGCGGGGGAGGGAGGTGGTTACAAGGCGGTGCGGTGGGTGCGGCTGGCTCAGTAGTACTAGGCGGTGGCTCAGGAGTAGATTGTTGGCTGTGTCTGGCTGTCTCAGGATGTCTGATGGGGGTCCCGGCGGAGGTCCCGGCGGGGGCGGCGAGGAGGGCGGCCTGGAGGTGCCGGGCTCGGCCGTGCAGAATGTGGCCGATGTCTCGGTGCTGCAGAAGCTTTTGCGGAAATTAGTGCCGCTGCTGCTGGAGGACGGCGGGGAGGTCCCGGCCGCGCTGGAGGCGGCGCTGGAGGAGAAGGGGGCCCTGGAGCAGATGCGCAAGTTTCTCTCCGACCCGCAGGTGCACACGGTGCTGGTGGAGCGATCCACGCTCAAGGGTGAGAGCCGGGCCGGGCGCCGAGCCGCAGCGGGGGTAGGAGGGGGTTGGGTTGGGTTGGGGGGCGCCTCCTTCTGCTGCAGATGGTAGCTGTCAAGATGGCGGCAGCTGCCGCTTTGTCCGCCGCGGTGACTGTTCTTCCCACGCTCCCTGTG